GTGGGGGCTGAAGAGTTCCAGTTCCCTCAATGTCTCCTTGTAGGGCCTTGCATGCAGGCCCCTGACCATATGAGTGGCCCTCCTCTGAACCCTCTTGAGGTTGTCCACATCCCTCTTGAAGTGTGGCACCCAAAACTGGACACAATATTCCAACTGCGGCTTGACCAATGCTGCATAGAGGGGAAGTATCACCTCCCTGGACCTGTTTGTCATGCACCTGCTAATGCATGATAAAGTGCGGTTAACTTTACTGATCCCTTCATCACATTGACGACTTATATTCATCTTGGTGTCAACAGTGACTCCAAGATCCCTTTCCCCTGCTGTGCTGCTGAGAAGGTCCTCCCCCAGCCTGTAAGTGTTCTAGTGATTCCTTCTCCCTAGGTGCAGCAGATTGCACTTGTCCTTGTTAAACTGCATCCTATTCTGCTCCACCCACTTTTCCAACCTGTCCAGATCCTCCTGGATTCCTTCCCCATCTTCCAATGTGTTAACTTTACCACATAATTTGGTATCATTTGCAAACTTGGACAGAGTGCCTTCCACACCCCCGTCCAAGTTACTGATGAAGACACTGAACAGCACTGGTCCAAGGACCGAACCACTGCTCACATCTTTCCAGGTGATACCCATCACCACCACTTTCTGGGTGTGACCCCTAAGCCAATTTGCCACCCACCTGACCGTGTAATCATCTACCTCACAGCCACTCAGTTTATCTGTGAGAATAGAATGAGACACCGTATTGAAGGCCTTCTTAAAATCCAAGTAGATCATATATTTGGACTTCAAAAAAGCTTTTGACCTGGTGTCCCACAATGTTGTCATGGAAAAATTGGGCAACTGCAGCCTCAACTATACTGCAGTCCGCTGGCTGGGGAACTGGCTCCAAGGTCAGACCCAGAGTGTGGTAGTTGATGGAATTGAATCAACATGACACTCAGTGACCAGTGGTGTCCCCCAAGGATCTGTTTTTGGACCCATACTCTTTAGTGTCTTTATAAATGATCTGGACTCTGGTGTCAGATGCGGACTGGCCAAGTTTGCTAATGACACCAAACTATGGGGAAGAGTATCCACGCTTGAGGATAGGCTGGTGGTCTAGGCTGAACTCGATAGGCTTGCAAGGTGGGTGGATGAAAACCTGATGGCATTCAATACAGAGAAATGCAAGGTGCTCCACCTCAGGGGGAAACCCACATCATACTTATAGGCTTGGCAGTGCTATACTTGCTAGCACAGGGGTGGGCAAAATACGGCCCGTGGGCCAGATGCGGCCCGCTACACCACTCTATCTGGCCTGCAGGGCCCCTAAAAATTTAGAAAATTAATATGTATTTATCTGTCCTTGGTTCCTGTCAAAGATGGCAGGAGTCAGAGGCAGTAAGACCCAGGGGAAGCCCTGGCGGGCTCCTGCAACAGCAGGACCTGCCTGGTCCTGCCCCCCCAGACCATGTGGCTTCTTGGCTGCACCAGTGCTGGCAACTCAGGTAAGGGGAAGAGGAGAGGGGAAAGGCAGGGGAGGACCACAGGCAGGGAACGAGTTGGTTCCTCCCCTGATCCGTGGCCTGCGCTCCCTGTTGCATCTCCTCACAGCCCACATGGGGCTGTCCTAGGCAGGCACAGGCAGCCCCATGCGGCCATAATGCCGGCCATGGGGCAGAGGAGGGGCAACTTTTCCCCACACTCAGCACCAGCTTGTAGTCCGTCCCTGCTGCCAGCCTGGGACCTGTGCTGGCACCGGGCTCACCTGTCAGGGCTGCACCACGGCGGGAGCAGCTGCAGACCCCCTGCTTGCCACGCCAGGCAGTGTTTGCTGCTGCTGCTTGCCCAGAGCTTCCACGCTGGGCAGCACGGAGGCAGCAGTGGCAGCTGCACTGCAGCCTAGCTTGGCGTGAGCTCTGGGTGGGCAGCAGCAGCGAATACTGCCCGGTGTGGCAAGCAGGGGGGCTGCTTTCCTCCTTGCCAAGCAGGTGCTGCCACCGTGGCACAGACCCAACAGACAAGCCCGGAGCCAGCGTGGGGCCCAGGCTGGCAGCGGAGACGGGTTACAAGCTGGTTCTGAGCATGGGAAAAGCAGCCCCTCGCCCACCCCATGGCCGACGCCTCGCGCTGCAGTCTCTCACAGCCCACATGGGGCTGCCTGTGCCTGCTCAGGATAGCCCTGCGCAGGCTGCAAGCTGCTGCAGCAAGGAGCGCTGGCCAAGGGGCAGGGGAGGGGTGGCTTTTCCCCCGCACTCAGCACCAGCTTGTTACCTGCTGGTGAGCGTGGGGTTGGGGCTGCACACTACCCCCTGCCTGTACCATGGGGCTCAGGGGGAAACTGGGAGCCAGTGGGAGCATGGGGCTCACACACGTGTCCCAGGGCCAGCGCTGGCAGGGCCCAGAGCAGGGTGGCAGGAGTACAGGGTCCCAGCTGGTAGGGCTCTATGGAGCTGGGCCAGCTCCCCCCTCTCCCTGCTGGTGCAGCCCAGCCTGGCTCCACAGACCCCTGCCAGCCTCTGCCCTGCTCTGGGCCTCGCGAGTGCTGGCCCTGGGACATTGGTCCCAAGATGGAGACCAAGGGGTGGGGCACCTGTCAAAGGGCGAGCTACCCATGCGTCCCTCGACAGCTTGCCAAAACTGGGTAAGCGGCCCTCCACCCAAAAAAATTGCCTACCCCTGTGCTAGCACTGTGACCGAAAGAGACTTTGGGAGTCATGATTGGCCACAAGATGAACATGAGTCACCAATGTGATGCTGCAGCAGGTCAAGTGAACAAAACTCTGGCTTGCATCTACCAATGCATCTTAAGCAAGACCCAGAACATCATCCTCCCACTGTACTCAGCCTTGGTGAGGTCGCATCTGGAGTACTGCATCCAATTCTGGGCTCCACAATTCAAGACAGATGTGGAGAAGCTTGAAAGAGTCCAGAGGAGAGCCATGTACATGATCAGAGGGCAAGAGAACAGGCCTTATGAAGAGAGGCTGAGAGGCATGGGACTCTTCAGCCTGGAGAAGTGCAGGCTTGGGGTGACTTGGTAGCTGCCTATAAGTATATAAGGCACGTGCATCAGGATCTGAGGGAATGCCTGTTCGCCAGAGCACCCCAAGGGATGACAAGGTCCAACGGTCACAAACTCCACCAAGACAGTTTTAGGCTGGACATAAGGAAAAACTTCTTTACTCTCCGAGCCCCGAAGGCCTGGAATAGACTCCCCCCAGAGGTGATGCAAGCACCTACTTTGGACACCTGTAAGAAACGGTTGGATGCTTATCTTGCTGGGGTCCTTTGACTGTAGCTGACTTCCTGCCCCCTGAACAGGGGGCTGGACCCGGTGATCTTACGAGGTCCCTTATTGTCCTAATGTCTGTGAAATCTATTAAAGCTTTTTATGATTTTGGGATGATCTTTGTTGGAGATCTAGTGTGTTTGGATGTTTCTCATGTTGTTTCAGAGAAATATGAAAAGCAGTTATCTGCAATGTATTCGGTTTTTTATTTATTACACATTTGATAGTTTTTTGGGGAACAGAACCTTCAGTCTTCAGTGAATTTCAGGAAAAGCATGTGTGTGAGAGCAAGAGATGCATATTGGCTTCTGTAAAAGTATACTTTTTTAGTTTAAAGCTAGTTGTATAGACATCTGCGTCTCTAATTTTATGTGGACTAATTCTAATATATAATTTTTTGTTTGACACATAATAGTCTCTCCCTTTCCTTTATTTGCCCTGACTCTCTTTTACTTGTTCAGCTCACCCCATATCTCAACGTGGTTGGTTGATAAGGCTACTTCCCAAAGGTGTGATTCCCACTTATTCCAACAGGAAGTCAGAAGTAACTTGTTTGTTGTTTTTTTTTTAATCTCTACTTCTGTGTCACAGGCCAGCTGGGCACTGTGAGTATATCGATTTAGTTGCAGACGGTCTGAGCACTGCAACTTTATTAGCCACTGGGCTTTTTGGTTCGGGATCGAGGAGGTGATGTTGGAAAGGAAAGCAAGGACAAATGTCACTTACAAAAAAGAATGAATTTAACTTATGACAACAAAAGATATAATTTGCGCATGTAATAGTTAATTAAAAGGTTAAGCTAATAAACAGACAACATAACAATACAGATTAAAATTGACAGTGATAATAAAACAGATAATGAAATTAACCATGAGTTCCCACTTGGTTAGTAACTTATCGATAGTCCCTCGGTTAGAAGATGCATGTCAAGTTGAATCAGAGAAGTCAGATGTCTCTGAACTGGGCTGCCCGAAGGAGAACCGGTGGAAGCCCCTCAGTCAGGATCTGGTCCTCGCTCTCTCAGGGAGTAAGAGAGATCCATGAGGGTATGAGACAGCAATGACCCTTCCGTTCAGTCCTTCCCAAGGGTTACTTTGATGTGCGTGTTCTTTTATATCTTAATTATGCTAATTTTCAGTTGCATAACCATTCATAATATTACTTTATAGCTGTTATCCTATGGGGTTAAAAGGTGTTAGAAATCATTATAAGAAGTTACCCAAGCTTTGGTTTATCCAATAAGCAGATTGCAACACAGCATCTTCAGGTTTGAAATTAATATTACTCCGCTTAAATCCAGCCTCTTCAGAACTCTCTGACTATGCTTTTTTATATGTCCTTTCCTGGAATGTGCTGCATAAGCTAGGCAGCTGAATCCAGCCTTTATCATCATCAAGGCTAAATTCTGAGCAAGAAAGAACTATTAGGTCAGCTGATTTTACAGCTATAGCTTTGTCTTTAAGGCCTAGTCAGTTCCACAAACAGGTACAAGTTACATTTGCGGGTTACAAAAATACAAGCTTCATATTAGACAAAAGTTCCAAATGCCTCCAAGAAGCACATATTTGTTGCTTATTCATTTCTTTGGTTCTGGCCATCACACTTCTGCTTTGGACATACTCACCATTTGCTTGTGACTCTATGTTGTGTGAGAATATCTGCTGGAAGGTAAGAACCAAAGACTTCAGGCTTGTGAGACCTTCACATGCTTTTTTTCCTGTTTTAGATGGAGCTGTTAAATCCATGCTGTTTGAATGCATATGTGAGGGGAATTCCTGTGATCATCAAAAACGTTGTTTTGGTCAGCAGTGTTTTGCCTCTGTGATCCTGAATGGTGAGGCATATGTTTTCCAGAAAGGATGTTTTGGTGTGCTGGAACATGGAGAAATGACATGCAAGACAGCACCTTCAATAAATCAGGTAGTGGAATGCTGTTACGGAAATCTCTGCAACTGGAACATAAGTGCAAAGCCACTACTTCCCCAAGGTATGATTGCTGTAATTTCTTAGTTAGAATGTTACATTTGAAATTTCTTTTTTTGTTTATAGTAAGATTACAAATGATCTTGATTACATATCAAAGCATTTTTTGGAAATACTTGTAACATGATTTACAGCTTTCAGGCTCTGCATAACTGAAATCTTACTCTTACCTTTTTAGTCTTTGGATTATGGATTTGTAGAAATTCTTATATAATAAAGGGCTTAGTCCGTCTGTCTGTCTGTCCACAACGCTTTTGGAGTACTCTGATTGATTAGTGAAACAACCAATCAGAGTGTGGAGTGCTGCCATGACAGCGGAAATGGAGCGGGGGGGCTGTCCTGCCCCCCCCCCCCCCAACTCCCCGGCCTTGCTCCTCGGAGACAGTGAAGCACCACCATGACAGGGGATGGAGTGGGGGCGAGGCCAGCAGTGCTGGTAGCAGCAATGGTGCAGGGTGCTGGGGGGGGGGTGGCGAATGTGACACATTGCCTGCAGGGGATGCCAATTAGCTAATTAATCCAGAGGGTCGTTAATCCTCTATGACCCACAGGTAGTCAGGCTTGGGGCATTAAAGTAAGTTAATTTTCCTAAGCATTGATCTGTTGCCCGACTCCATTCAGAGTTAAAAACGTAGCTACACATTACAACACAGGTAGGTTGAGCAATATAAGCTATATCACAGAACAAAACCCGCTCAACAACTACCCGACGCAATATTCCCATAACACCCAAGCTTCAACACAATAAAATACACCCAATGAAACAATAACGTGATGCACATCCCAAACTCAATGTCCCTGGTCATACAACCAATCAACTACACATTACAATGAGCTTTGGCCACTACGCAGATAACTGCTGTGCAACTTCACAGACAACCCAGAAACCACAGATAGCAGCAAGAACACCCTGGGCCTAGTTAGCAGGAGAAACACTCTGACAGTCCCAAAGGATTCCTAGCATTTTCCTACCTAGGTGCTCAGCACCTCAAATAGGAAAAGGTGCTGAGTACCTAAGCAGGAAAAAGCACGAGACAGGTAAGCCTCAGTGAGCTCAATCCCAATGACCAGGTCACAGCAAGGAACCTGCACTCGACAAACCCTGCACCCTGAGAGCCCAGAGTCAGAACTGTCCACCAGAGTGAGAGCAAAGCCAAGCCTGAGCCCCCAGAGCTCCTGCTGGCTGCTCTGGACAGGATTTATAGCCTTCTAATCACATCACCTGTCACTCACCCAATGGTCCAATCATCGCCCTTTTCACAATACCCAATCAAATTCAAACGTGGGCAGTACTTAAAAGGACCAATCAATTCAGACTATTTCAAACATATATAAACATCAGTCAACAGTTGCATTACCATTATACACTGTGCATGCCCAGACCTTAAAAGTAGGTCGTGACTTCATCAAGGCTGAGAGTTCAAAGCCCCTAGAAACTTCTCACCTGTAGTCATATGGTGCATATGTGGACTCTCACTGTTCTACAGAGGGGATGGCGGGGCACACTTCCCCTGCTCCTAGGAGGCGGTGGCATGGGGTGGTGGGTGGCAGCGCTCCGTCCCTGTGCCGCCCCCGCCCATCATTCTTGACAGGCAATTCGCTTCTCTAATATAAATAAGCCTTTGTAGATGGTTGTGGAACTATTTTAGGAGTGGGGAGTAGTCATAAATTGACTCATTAGCATTCAACTTCTTGTAAATCTTTTTTTATAAACCCTTCATCCTCTTTAGTGCAGAGTCAGATAACTTATTTTGTCTGTGCTTGCTGTAGAAGGAGGAAGGAGCATTTTCTTCTCTCTTGATTGTAGTGTTTGGGAAAGAGGCAGCCAACATCCTTGTAACTCTTCTCCTGTTTTTCTAGCTATCCTCTGTTTCAAAGGCACTTCAAACTATATTGACTAAATTTATCTTCTCAGTCCCATCATGCAAGGAAGTTAGGACATAAATATGAACAGACATTCTTTGAAGTGCTTCAGATCCTGCTCCACTATCAAGTGCATCAAATTTGCAGCCTGAAGTGCTTTAAATTTGCAGCCCTTCTGCACCATACTTGTGTATGGGCCCCTCATAACTGAGGTGTTTCAGGATGGCCTCAGTCCCATGTTGTGTCAGAGCCCTTGGGGCTGGTGAGTAGAGATCCCAGCTTACCTTTCAAACTGGAATTTCCAAAGGCTCCTGAGAACTGCTAAGTGCAGAGAAGAGAGCTCAGTGACTATGCCCTCCACCTGTTGCGTGTCCACTGCAGACCTGGTCTATTTTACTTTGGGTGAGTTTGTCAGTTATGAGAGCAGCACCACAATCCTGGGGAGCCAGGAATGATTCACAGGAGCAGCTTCTGGGAGCAGTCTGAAGGTGGGAAGCAGAGTACTGTGCTTCAAAGTAGTTCCTATTTTTTTTCTGGAGTCTTTTCTGAGATGGAACATACCTTTCGACAGGTTTTTGTGGCTATGTATGTTGATACCTTCACTTTTTAGACCACTTTAAAGGCACTTGGATTACTTCCGATGTTATGTCTGTCCATACCTTATACTGTGTTTTGGGAAAGGAATGTGCCACACCCACCTTTTCACGTTTGCATGTGTCAAAACCAGAAATGCAGCAGTGAAGCTGTTCCCTCACACAGCTGCCTGTAGGCATACCAGAGACTGATAAGGTCAAAGTACTGGTCCCCCAGGGTGAGTGGGCTTCACTGCCATATTTCTGGTTTGGTATGTGGAAGTGGGAGTGGATAGCCAGTGTGTGCTCAGGTTTCCCTCCCCAGGAGGGCTGGGGATTCAGTACAAACCTGTCCTCATCTGTTTGTGCCAAAGACTGGCTTCATTTTTATAAGATTGATTGTCATATAGGCAGACTCTTTGATCCCTGTAAGGGAGGGGCTTGGATAGTTGCATACTGATTTATAAATGAGTGTTGAGTGGTGTCTGCTTAATAAGATGAAAATAGTGAGATAGAGGGGAAGTGTTCACATTGTAATGAGTTCTACGTTTCCATCAATAGAAAACTGTACGTGCACATTGAGGCCAGGGACAGAAGTTACACATAAACTGGTTTTAGTAATCAAACATTGGTTTAAACCTGTAATAGAACAGAAGTTCAGTACACATAAAGCAGTTTCAACATGGCTGAAACTGGTTTAAGATTAACCTGGTTGAATGTAGTATCAGACTTAACTGATTTGGGTCAGACCAGTTTATGAAACTTCTGTCAGACCCCTTCCTGGTTCAAGTTAAATCATAGTCCCCCCAACATGCTTTGCAGCCTTGGGGTGGACTCTGCTGTCTGCTCCAGCAGAGAAGTGTTGTGGGGGTGGGAGGCAGGGACTGCCACCCCCTCACTCCCAGCATACCCCAGCTGAGGTCTTGGGCCAGCGAGGTGGTTAACAGAGCTGCCCTGCCCTGCTAAATTTACTGATGGCTGCAACTGTAGACTACAAATCCCAGAGGCACTTGGAAGCAGGAAGAAGTGATGAGCAACCCTGCAGTGTCCTGTTGTTGTGATTCTGGACTACAAATCCCAGAGATGTTTGGGGCAGGAGGAAGAGGAATCAAACACACAATCCATGCTGGCTATGTGCCAGGGAGCCATGCTCTAATGCCCTCTGCCTTTTGGCCTGAGCCACTGCAGGCATGTGGCTACATTTCCTGAATCAAAGTAAATGTCTGTTCACTTGTTAGTCAGTTTAATCTCTGCATTTTAGGTTAACCTGCAAAGACTGAATCGATTCAGCCTTGGGCTTTTTGACTGCCTATACTTATCCTGAAGGAAAATGTTAGCCAAAGAGAGCTTTTAAAATAGGCAGCAGCAAAACCAGATATACGAATTGCCCCTTATATTACTTTATTTTCTTGCAGTGGCTGAAGCAATACAACACAACACCAATAGATTTGTTATTTTTGTGATAAGTCCTATAATGGTGCTATTAATTCTCACATTTGTGGCTATTGTGGCATGTCGCAAGATTAGCCAAAATCGGATGCATCAGTTACTTGCACATGATGCTGAACACGGTATGATTGATGGCCTGATTACTTCAAACATTGGAGACAGCACGCTGGCGGTAAATTAAAATTCTTCTTTTATAAAACTTAAATTTAATACTTTTTGTGAAATCATGTTTGGTTTAGAATGTTTGAAAAATAAAATTAATTAACCTACCCATTTTTGTCAAACTTGAAATGATATCAATCAAAAATTCTGACACATTTAATACAATATACCCTTTATTTTGATTACTTCTTTGTTTTTAACTAAAAAATTTCCCCTATGTTTAGGATTTGCTTGATCATTCTTGTACTTCAGGAAGTGGCTCAGGATTACCATTTTTAGTGCAAAGAACAGTGGCTCGTCAAATAACGCTAGTAGAATGTGTAGGTAGGTCAAGAGTTAATCATATCTTAATTTAGGAATCTATAGTAAGGTAGCAAAAATGCAAGAATATCAAATTCTGAACATTTTGATATAACAGTATACCAGATAAAATGATCTGAACATTTTGCTATATTAAATTATACTTGTGAGGATACTAGTATATGAATTCAGAAGTTTTTATAAAACCTTTGCAAGCAAATCTTCCCACAAACTTTTGACTGTTTACCATAGGCTTATACAGTCATGAATTAAAATTGCAATTTTATATTAGAAATTGTCATTTAATGCAGTGCCCTGTTTCTTAAGCTGCCTTGTAATTCTAAAACATACATGTCTGGTGTCCTTGGAGCAGATTGTTGGGGTTGCAGTTCACTGAAGGCAGGGAGAAGGTTAGCTAGTTTGGATATAAGATTTTCATATACCCATGAAAGACTGCTTTCTATTTATTTGTGAGCTTGATGAAGCAAGATTTGTTGCATTATAAAGAGACTTTAGAAAAACAAGTCTTGGGGTTGTATATCAATAATCTCAGGAGACTTCTAGTAGTGGAAGTATTTTTAATGAAGACAAGCTGTTGCTTTGTATAATTTTGAATCGGTCTCATCGTCTATAACCTATTAATGATCTAATAGAATAATATCAAATTTTGTAGGAAAAGGCCGTTATGGAGAAGTCTGGCGAGGTCAATGGCAAGGAGAGAATGTAGCTGTCAAAATATTTTCATCAAGGGATGAGAAATCATGGTTTAGAGAGACTGAAATATACAATACCATACTACTTCGCCACGAGAATATACTAGGTATGCTTGTTTTTCTAAGTAGTCAAATACTTATTTTTAATATACCAAATGTTAGAATGATTGTTTGGTTATCTGTGTTCAGGGAAATAATACATTTTTGAAGTAAAACTGTCATATTACACATTAAGCATTCATAATGTAGGTGTGCTTGAATATTTTTTTTCTAGAGAGAAATATTGAAGATGCTGAATGGTAAACTCGTAAAACTGAAAGATAGTACTTTTAAAAAAAATCCATGGTAGCTAGTATTTTGCAAGTGGTTTCCCTTTTTGTTTTGTACTATGTAGAGAATGGAAAAGAAGCGGAAGGAAAATGTACTGTTTCACAAGGCATCCATAATTCTCTTTTAAAAATGAATTAAACATACAGACTCTTAAATCTGGTTTCTGACCCTAAAAAAAGTTACCACCATACATCTCTCATATTTGGTCTTTTTCCCTATTGCTTATCCATTTACTGTACATGTTGGACTTAAAATTAGTAGAGGTGTACCGATACATCAGTCCATATCATATCAGCACTGATAAAAGGAAAATTTACATTATTGGCTTTTTAATATTATGTGGCTGGTAATGCCGCTGATTAATGCCGCAGCATGCACATGACCAGAAGTGCAGCCCAGCAGCTTGGAGAGCAGTGTCTGGCTGGTAAATCTGTAGGGGGAAGGGGCATGGGAGTGCAGATCAATGCCCCCATGGTGAGGGAGGACATGGGGCAGGGACAGGGGCAGGGACAGGTGCTGTCCAGCCGAGGCAGGGTGGAGCCAGTGGCTCATCCGGCGGGGGGGCAGGGGCATCAGCGGGCAGCTCCTGTCTCTGCATACATCGCTGGGGGCAGGTATGGAGGGCACATGCTCCATCAGATCTGTGTGTTGGGGGAGGGCAGGCTGCTGCTGTGTGCCTGCACTTGGAGTCTGCTCCAGGCTTTTCCTAGCAGCAGCACTAGAAGGAGAGCTATAGGGGGGCTAGGGCTACCACCATAGCCCCCCCGTAGTCTTCCCAGCTCTACTGCTGCCTACTCCGGCCTGAGCCCAGCTGCTGGGAAGAGCTAGCCTGCTCTCGCCCTGTGTACAGATCCAGGAGGCACATGCCCCCCGTGCCTCTCCTGGGGGTGTGCGCAGTGGCAAGAGCTGCCCCCCACCCCCGCACCTCCTTGGATGAGTTGCTGGCTACGGCCCCACCCTGGTTGGACCAGCCATGACCTGCCCCAGCCCCACTCCCTCACCACTGGGGCATCAGTCTGCCCCATTCCCCTTCCCCTTCCCCTCCAACAGACTTACCAGCCAGATGCTGCTTTCCAAGCTTCCGGGCTGCATGTTGGCAATCGGATCAGTATTGGCTGATATGGCTCGTCAATAATCGGCCATCGGTATTGGCCCAAAAAATCTTTATCGGTGCACCCCTATTAATTAGGTTTTGGACAAGATAGTGAACTACAACAGCATGGTAAAGCCAGCTTCCAGAAATTCATCTTTTGCTGCTCACTGGATAAAACTGTGGACTTGGACATGCAACATGTAAATACATTTTGTAAGCCATTTTAAATCACGTTGGGTGCATCTACATGTTGCCATACTGTGCCATTGCTATGGCAGCGTGCTTTAGTGCTTCCTTTTGGAAGTATTAAAGCACAGTGCAGTAACTGCCCGTACTGTGCCGTGCACATGGTTAGACTTCACCACTACGTCACTATAGCAACAAACTAGAATGGGGGAGTGCGCTGCTATGGTGACTTAGCTACCAATCACATGTAGACCCATGTGATCTCTATGTTGCTGTAGCGCACCGTACGGTGATATAGTGCATTGCTATGTTGCCATAGGGGGGCATGTAAATGTGGCCATTGTATCTACAGTGGGCAGATGAACAGGTCTTCCAAGGCTGCCTCAGTAGGCTTGTATACAATGCTGTGCCAATAACGGGGACCAGTAATATCTTATAGCACTGATCAAATAGCTTCCTCAGGATACAACTAGATACGTAACAGCTACACCAGTGTAAACTATGTAGTGTAGTTTTGTTGTGAATTTTCCAGGGGTACCCTTTTTACAGGACACTACTATAAGGCTATACATTATGAATCTGTTCCTATTTTTACATCGGTGTAAGGTTATGCCACTGCAAACATGTCTAGGCTTTTGAGTGCAATATGATTCTTAATGAAATTTTAATTCAGTAAAAGTTCTGTTATCCAGCATCCCCTGGGAATGGGGGGGATGCTGGTTAATCAGATATCCGGGTTAATCAAATGTGCACTGTCTGGTGCACTCCCCAGCATCAGTGTGCTGGGGGACAGGGAGCGGGGCCCCACACTGGCTGCTTTGCCCCACGCGTGCTGCTTTGCCATTGGCCGAAGAAGTGACAAAGAAAAACTTGGCTCGCGGCAACGAAACCGTAAGTTCCCCGGAAGTGGTACTTCCGGTTTCACTTTTGCTGTGTCCGGCAGATGCCAGTTAGTAGTGTTTTCCAGCTAATAAAGTGCTGATTAACACAGCTTTTGCTCTAGTTACTAAGGGGGCAGTGGGTTGAAATATAGTTGTTAAATGTTACTTTTCTACACAGTCGTCTTATTTTTCAATTGAAATAGTGTGCCAGATAAAATGATTTTCTTTTTTGTTTTAGGATTCATTGCTTCGGACATGACATCGAGAAACTCCAGTACACAGCTTTGGCTAATTACTCACTACCATGAGAATGGATCACTGTATGATTACCTGCAGCGAAATACAATGGATGCTGATGGTTGTCTAAATGTTGTGTTGTCAATTGCTAGTGGTCTTGTACATCTACATACTGAAATATTTGGAACAGAGGGTAAACCTGCAATAGCACACAGAGATTTAAAAAGCAAAAATATTTTAGTTAAAAAGAATTTGCACTGCTGCATTGCTGATCTTGGTAAGACATTTTCATTCGTTTGCCAGACTAATTTTTTTAAAGAATATTGTATTCACTTATTTTTGTTGTAGTTATAAGATATTTATATGCACTTAAAATGAAGCAAATCTGATATTTTTATTGTGTTAAGTAGGCTTGCTTACAGAACTCTAGGTTATATCGTTGGCTAAATTAATATTTAAATCTATTGTGAATAATGAAAGCATAATCTTGGGAGAAAAATTGGCACATGAGCCCTCATCTTTGAGATTTGTTGGGTTTTTTTGCTGTTTTTTTTTAAAAAGCATAAATATAGCTGAGGTTATTAGCCAGAGAAATGTAGCATTTATAATGGTTATTTTACTGTATCTTACTTGAAGATGGTAAAAATTTTATCTTCTGATTCTTATAGTTCCCATGTCTGTAAACTCAATGAGCCTGGACATAAGGTACAAACATGAAAAGAATGATAAAATTCTCTTAAGAAAATTTATATTGCCATAAAAAGATTCTTAATCCAAACTCTCTTCTTTATTCATTGATTAAATCCACCATTTTACCCAGTCTTGTGCTACATTGACAGTTGATCTACTGTCCAGTTTTAGTGTCTTAGTAGTTGTGGAAATTATTTAAAGTTTCCTAGGATGGCTGTTTAGGTTTGCATAGTAGAATTATTGAGGTCTGTGCTTGAAGGTCTAGATCAGTATCATTTATCAAGAAGTCAGTCTGTGCATGGGATCGTTATTCCATTCCCTTAGATCATATGGATTCTGGCATGTATTATCAGAGTGTTTTTCTTTTATATCTTACTGGATTAAAACTTCCATGGAATATGAACCTGTTAAATGTGTGCCACCTACCTGAAGTGGTACCACTGCCACATTGGTTTTAATATAGCAAAAAATTATATCACTGAGTGCATTAGTAAAATATGGGGTGGCTAGTCATTTGCGAGTTGCAAAGGTAAGCTCTATTCATAATGTTTTAGTTATAAGCCTTGCTGTATACTGTATTTGCTGTGTGGCTGATGCACTCCAGGTCATTGGGCTGGAACTGGGTCCTGACCCAGTGTCACTGGGACCTGCTGTACATTTAAAGTTTTTTCTGGCAAAAGCTGTAGTGTAGAGGCATCTATACCAACAAAAACCCTCTTGGTATAGTTTGTCATTGGGAACTAGCACAAATTATACTTGCAAAACCCCCCTTTTATTGGTATAAGATGCATCTTTACTAGAAAGGTTTTATGACATTGATATATTAATAAACTTCATTTAGTTCAGTTGCACCCTAGGTGTGAAGGCAGAGAGTAGGTACAGAACAGAGACTAAGCTCTCTAAAGGGCTAATTCTCACCAGTCTCACAGAGGCAGTCTATAGGATTTCTCTTTCTGTTTCCTCTGTAGCACTGAAGGAGGATTTGGGTCAGCAGTGTGTATTCTGAGCTTTGGTGTAGAGGACCATAATCCAGTGGATAAATCTGATAGGAACCAGAATCAGGAAGCCAGCAGCCAAGTCATGATCAAGAGTTATGGAGAGGAATAAACCAGAGACCAGGAGGTGGGCACAGAAAGCAAGAGTACAGGGACCAAGGAAAAAGAGTAGTGATTGGAAGCAAGGCAAAAGACCAGAATAAAAATAAGTCTGAAAATTTTCTAGAAGACTTGTTAGGCAGTTTGCCACTGTCTGCTCTGTTGGTTTTAGGTTGTACTTGGGCAGGGTCAGCTTTCAAGCACAGCAGCCAATCTCTGGCCACTGCAAAAATGAAGAGCATGCCAGACGGGTGACTCATTCCTACCTGGAGCCATGACTCATTGCAATAAGTGTTTAGGCCCAAGGCTCCAATTTGTAGTCACTTCCTGAGGTGTGACTTGCAAACTTTCTTTAAAAAAATGTGGTATAGTCGCAAAGGATAATTTAAAATATTGAAATGCTGCAGTGATGCTGGTAGCTACAGCTACAGATTGTGCAAGTTTCCCAGCCCAACACCTGTCAGCAGAGGAGACTATACCCCTGCTGAGACTCTGTGGGAAATGATTACCATTAGTAGTCAAGACAAGAAAAGAGTGTCATGCCTTGTCATGGGTGGCCAGGTCTGGAGTCATTCATGGTTTGATGCGCTAACCAAAGTCAGGAGGAGCAAGCAGAATCCAGGGACAAGCCAGGTCAAGAAACCAGGAGTTCAAGCAAAGAGCAGAGTTGGAGACGACTGAAGCAGTCTGGGGTTAGGTTGAGCCCTGTTGCTTGGAGACTTCCTGTTCTGAGTCAGGGATTTATATGGGGGGGAGGAAAGTCAGCTGAGTCTAGCTGGCCACTCTAGTGCCAGGGAGCAGGTGGAAGATAAGGCCTGACAAGGCTTTCAGCTAGCCCTGACCAGCCTGAGTAACTAGCTACAGGGTGGCCGGCCAAACTGAGAGGCCCTGATGACAGGCCAAGGCCATGGCCCAACAGGGAGTCTTTATCCCCAACCCAAGTCCTCTAACATGGGGTTGCAGAAAACAGCTGAGGCAGAAGTGAGATACAGGGAAGGAGACTGTGAAGGGCTGCTAGGGAAGGGAAAAGGAACTTAGTTGTTGGGTTTGGTACACTTTATTTGGCTAGGGAAGGAAGCAGATCAGCTATTGCATTGTGGCCAGGAAGAAAGGAGTAACATGGTCGCTACAGCTGCTCTTGGCTTTAGGGCTGGTCGAGGTGAGGGTGCATTCTGTCGCTGCTTCCCAGCCAGCTCAGAACTTAAGACATTTCAAGGGTCTTCCTTTTATCTCTCTTTCTTAATGTGTAGAACGAATGACTGACATAACTACAGTTTAGCAAACATGAGAATGGGATGCCAAATGCCCCAGTCTTTGCAAAAAGAGGAGTGGAGGCATGCTCACTGCCAGTTTAGTGACTCTTCCCACTACTGTACCAAGGATAGGCCTGTCAGATAGATGGGACATTAGTGCGTGGATTCCCCATGTTTGGGCAGAACTGGTTCAACAGACTGCATAGGATCCAAAACTGTTTCAGCAGACTGCAACAGTCCAGAACTGTTCCAACAAACAACATAGCATCTAGTCTGATGTTGTATCATATTTTAGTTTATTCTTTATCACAAGAATCAGTGTCTTAGCCAAAGCAAATTCCAGCAGCATTGAGGCCATGATCATCCAAAACCAACTTCGCTGGACAGGTCGTGTTGTTCGCATGCCTGACTCCCGTCTTCCGAAGAGAATCTTTTTCTCACAGCTAAAAGAAAGCCAGCGAAGTAGAGGGAGGGCAAAGAAAGCGCTTCAAAGATGCCCTGAAGGCAAACATGAAGAGGTATAACATCAACACTTGGGAGACCCTTGCTCAGGACTGACCAAAATGGAGGAAGACTCTTTTGGGAGGGACCTCAACACTTTGAAACAGAATGTCAACAGGCAGAAGAGGAAAAGAGGAACAGGTGAAAAGAACATCCGAACATCCAGCGCAGCAACACGGTGCCTGTCCCTCCTGGAAATACTTGTCCTCACTGCGACAAGACACGTGGATCTAGAATTGGGCTATGGAGCCACTTGTGAACTCACTATTCAGATCCTTGGAAGACAACCTTACTCATTCATGAGTGATTGCTCATCATTTTAGTTTATTCTTTACCACATTAAATGATTTCATCTTCCAGGGACTCGTTTCTCCCTAAAACTGGCCTCTAGGAAGAATTACCTGAGTTAGCTTTTGTGACCCCTCTGCCCTATGGGTTTACTGCATGTTTGCATCTCCCAGCACTGTTCTCACCCTTTCCCATTTTATGTATTCTAAACACTCTCCATTTAATACGGTACTCTGTGCATATGCTTTCACAGCATCTGATGAAGTGAGTTCACACTTGCAAAAGCTTACGCTGTACATCTTTGCTTTAGTTGGCTCTATAAGATGCAGATTTACTCTTTCTTCTTCTGAGATGCTCACAAATGCTTATGGGTTGAGGAAAATGAAGTAGGTTTTACCTGGTGACTTTGCAGGAGATTTTTCTTAGTTTATTTCTAAAACTCCTATTGACTATTACATAGGCTCCTCCATTCACATTGGCCTAGTGGAACAAGCCAATAATGTTCCACCGCCCCCAGACCTGGTAGACATTAGCATGGTGTTTAGATTATGAATTTTTTTCTGCTGTTTCTGCTTCGCTTGTGCATAGTATAAGGGACCAGGGTGCAGACAATCATGGTAAGGCAAGGGCAGAAGCCAGGGTTGCAAAACTAGAGATGGAAATCAGGGCCAGAAGTCAGTGTCAGGACTAGGTGAGGCAGGCCAGGGAGATAACAAGGCAGTCTGTTGCCCTGGCAGCTTGCTGCTGTTTGCTTATAAGGGCCTCTATGGGTAGGGCCTTTTCCTATAACTGAGAGGGACAGCTTGGGTCTACCTACTTCTAGCTGGGGCTTGGGGCTAAATCTTTTCCAGCTGAGTCTGGGCTCATTACAGGTAGAATCTTAATGAATTCCAGCATAAATAAATAGTCTGCAGCTGCCAGACATTTTAAAGTCAGTTTTGCTCTGTTCTGAGGTGGTTTAGACCATAGGTGTGAAATCACCAGCCACTGACAGTCTACAGCATCGGCTGGAGCACACAACATTTAAAGCACTTTAGCCACAAACAAACTTACAAGTCGCTTCTGCACTGTCCTGCTGGAGTGCTTCAAAATTCCCATGACGGCACGCAACTGCATGCTCTCTAGTCAGGGGTCTGTGTCTTGTGGCTCTGCTTCCCTATGCCTCACCTCACGGGCAGCAGGGGACAGTGGAAGTGACTGCCAGTGGGTGCCCACCAGTGTGTTTTGCTTCCACTTTCCCAGAGTGTTCCCCTTCTTCCCTACCCCCTGAAAACTGGGAGAAGTACAGGGGCATGCAGGGCCTCTGGCCTCCCAGTTCCAGAAGGGGGAGGGGGCACTCGGAGAGCAGAGGGAGAGTATTTAGGAGAGTGTCCATAGACAGTCTGCCGCTCTAGGTTGGGGGGCATGGAGCACTGCTGGATGCTAGAAAACTAAACCCAGCCTCCATCACA